CAAGGGACTGGATATTGATATGGAGACTACTCTGGAGTGGACTGTTGACACTATCATCACGGAGTTGGAGAAGCGTGCTTCTGAGAAGGTTTAAAAGACCAACGAGATTTCATGAGACATTGAACTAAAGATTCGAGAATAACATGTGCAAGAAGATAAGCGTATGTACTTCACCCCTTTCCCTAGGGTGTTTTGAAACAGCTCCAAGCAGCTCTTGTCAAAGACTGTGAACCACCGAGGCATTCCAATATAACTATCCTTGCCAGGTGTCAGACTTCGTAGCCGTCGACGAGCAGGTTGACGGGACTGTGTAGCTGCGGTTGGGGTCACTCTCCCAAGTGACGGCACCACCGCTGGCAACATTGATGTACTTGTACTGGAACGTCGTACCAGCCGGCAACTCAATGGTCACAGTCCAGATGGGGTTGGCCGAAGTGTATCCCGAAGCACTCAAAGCGATGGCATTGCTCGGGTTCCAGCTTCCGAGGGCGGCGGTGCTACCCACCAACTTGATCGTCTGGCCAAACTGCGTCACGACCCGGGCGTTGAAAGTAACGAGCACGGAGCTGGCAATAGGGCATCCCGTTGCGGTTGGAGTAGCCCCCGTGGTAGTTCCCGTGGGTGATCCGCCTCCTCCACCAGGAGTCTGGTTGGCAGGGAACGACGTCGCCGTGGCGCTGGAGTACGAGCCGGCGATGGAGGTAGCCTGGCACGTACCCGGGACCGAGGTGGCAGAGCCGACCCAGCCCTTGGGGATGACATTGGCGCGGCGCTGGGCGGCTGTAAGGAAGGCTGCGTAAGACCAGGTAAGATCGTCCGCCGAAAGGGGCTGGCCGTTGCTGCGAGAGAACTGCTCGGCGAGCGAGCCATTGGACTGGGCGTAGGTCGCGACAACGTTCATGAAACCGTCCGCGTAGGCGCTGACGGTGCTGATGAGCGAGTTGTAGGTTGATGACCCGGAGGCGTACGTCCCGGGTGCTACGGAGCCATCACGGTCTCGGAAGAAGGCCAGTGACGTCTGGGTGACGGTGATGGACCCTTGCTGCTTCCAGACGTAGAGGGCGTCGTAGAGCTGCTCGGCGGCGGCCAGGGTGTTGAGGTACCATGGGTTCCCGTTGTAGTAGCTGTCTTCGGGGTATCTGCCGACTGCGACGGCGGCGGATTGGGCGATACCGTTGTTGATTGCGTAAATGGAACGGAAGGAATCTACGACGACCTTGTGGCTGGCAAGGGCTTTGTCACTGCAAGGCTGGAAAGTCGCTGCGTCGCAGGCTGCGGCCGGGTCGAAGTTGTGAATGGAGGCGAGGATGACGTTGGCATCACGGCCAGATCTTCCGTTTCCGTTGACTTGAGGGTGTTAGACTGCGTGGTTCACTGAGAGGTAAATACGATTGTGCTCATGAACTCACTGTTTGCAACCATGAAGTTGCCCGAAGGGTTCCAGAATCTGCCCAAGAAACACAGGACTTGGGGAGCCACGGCATCACAAGCAGCGCAAGACTGTCCAAGAGACCGGGCCAACGCGCTGCCCTCAACAAGAGCTGGATTCTTGAGTTAGTCTTGATGACTGTTCATCATGTATTGAGGTGAACTCACCGCGATGTTGGCTGGCGACGGTGAAGAAAGAGCTTCCCTGGACCTCCTCCCACAGATCAAAACCAGTCTGGTTCCTAGAGACAAGTTAGAGATGCTCATAACCACTTGTAATCTAGTCTTCTTACCAGTACTGAGCAACATATGCCAAGTCATTGCGGATCACCGGCCACAAGACGGATGAGGCAGTAGACGAGTAGCCGTTTGATACGAGCCATTTCGCGTAACCGATAATGGCAATGGCTCGCAGCGCCGGACCATCTCTCTGAGGTCGTCCTAAGTCAATATTAGTATGCTCCTCAAATCCAGTGGCAAATTTCCAATATACCCCAAGCACCCGTGAAGGGGGCCAAGTTTACTTCGAACTTGGGCTCGCCAAGGCCGGCACCATCACCCAAGCCTCCGGAAGGGTTCGAAACTCCCTGGAGACGAGCTTGAGAGGCGATGTAGTTCTGAATATTGGTCTGAAGGTTTGCATCGTAGCTGTTGGTGAATATGTCTACCACAGCCTTGAAGACGAGACCAGCATCTGCGGGCCTGTCAGTTTCTGCAGTGGAACCACCGGTAGATTGCATTTACCTCTAGTCCACGTGTAGAAATCTTTGGTACGTTAGCTAAAGTCCCTGAATCGAGGTGCCATGTTTGCCCCTCGGAGAACAAGTCGGTGAATTTGCTCCTCCGCTCGTTTCCCCGCTTGAAGCGTGTCACCAACAGAAGTTAGGGAACTTACACGGTGGGTCGGTCTTGTCCGGAGAAGCAATAACGATGCCAGAGCTGACGCCCTGAGCATGGCAACCGTTAGGGCCAATATTGCAGAGCAGCTGCGCAAGGGCTATGGGAGTCTCAGTGGCAATGAAGGAGTCGACGTCTCTCTTGACAAATTGGCCGCCGGGATAGCCAAAGATCGTTTGGGTGGCGAGTGACCCAAGCAGAAGAGCGGAAGTGAGAAGCTTCATGATGGGCTGTGTAAGACGCTCTGTGGTGTTGTGTGCCAGGCTTCCTGACATGACATGTTGCAGGTAAACCATGATGATTATATACTTCTTCGCGAGGCACGAAGAAGCGGTAGGGCAGGGGGTGTGTTCGGGGTGGGTTGCTTTGATGTGCCTCGAAGGCCCGAATGCTGGAGTATCACCGAGCTGTCAAGCTGGCCTGCATTAGTCTCACGAACATCCAAGATGCCCCTCGTCACGAGCTAGAAGCTGGACTTATGTCGGCACAACGGCGAAAGAATTTTGGTCGAGCCGTTCAATAGCTCCCCCAAGCCCGCCCGGTTCTGGAGTACAAGCCTACGATCCCACCTCTCGTCGTCCTCACTCTCACTTTCGAGTTCTTTTGTGAATAGTATCAGTGCCGGCAGCTACAAGTGCTCCAGCAGTGCCGTGAGACAAGGGTAACAATAATCCCAGCTCAGGAGATGCCGTACAGGTCGCACGTGGACCAGGTTGGCTGTATAATCAGAAGGCCACCTCAGGAAGGCAGCAAGGATAGCAGACAGGGGTTGAGTGATGTCGTCGGCAAGGCCAAGGAGATCAGACAACCTTGTCGTTCGGTCCTTTCCGCCAGGAACTGTGGGGTGTTATTGGTGGCTATGATGAACTTCAGGAGGACTCATGGGGGTTGGGGTCGAGGGGTAGTGGAGGAGGAGGTTTAAGCGTTCCCCGCACACTCCTTCCCGAGGCTTAGGCTTGATCGAACGACTAAGACATTGGATGCCTTGCACTGCTGATGCTTAAGGCGTATTGGAGTGGGAGCGGCCTTTGTCTGAGGCATACGCTCCTCGTAATTGGACGAACCTGAGAAAGAGAGCAATGCTTTAGGTCATTTGAAAGGAGAGGTGAGTAACAACTGTCGTTGTTGTTGTTGTCCCGTCTGAGCCAGCCTCATGTCTCATCGGCATCTAGAAGCTGGGCATGCGATGCTTCCTCACCCACCTGCGCTTGCTGGTGGTGTGATGCCATCAAGTCGACATCATCAATGCGGAAACTCCTTCTCCCTCGAGGCCGAAATGTCCTTTTTACAGCTTGCTCATTTGCTGCCGTGCAGTAGCGTCGACCAAGCTGTATGAAGTGTAACGATGTTACGGCGGAGTCTCCTGTTGATATCGGGCCGGACGAGAGAGAGTTAGCCATGCCAATAGCTACCCCAGATCACACGGCTGCACCCCGCACCGGCCATCCCACATGTTGGCCAACTTGGCCCCGTTGACACGGCCGGCCGGGATATCCAGAACGGGGACTCTGCGCCGTAACCGACAAACTCTGATGGCCTTGAGAAGCGAGAGGGTGGGCACCAAGATGCAGGAGCAGTATGCATCATCGGACAGCGCAAGCTTGAGATGACAGCGCCAGGTACGGGATGCGCCGAGAAAGAGCCCGTGGAGAAAATCGTGGCTCGTCTATCGACTTTTATCCGCAGGTCTTTCACATGTCTTCTTAGGTAAGAATGGTACTAGATATGGGATATTTCATGTAAAAACCTGGTAACAGCATCTTCAAAAGTGGTCTATGGTCTAGGCACAAAAGAAATGCCCGCAACTCGGTTTTAGATGGTCCGCGAAGACTGTTATTGCGAGATGGTTGCCAGTTTCAGGCAAGTGCGATTTTTCCTTCTCACTTGAAGCTGCCTTGAGCCTGACGCGCCGCAGTCGCGGGGCGAAATCCGGATGGAAGCTACCACTTTACGCGCTCGAGATAGTGAAATTTCGTCAGGAAAATTTACGCGTAGAAGACTAGGAGTTCTCCAGTGTCAAAGTTTGTGGGCAAGTCATGGTTTTCCCTAACCTCATAGATCGACGATCTCGGCAAAAGGGGTAGGAATATGACGTCCCCAGTACAAGATTACACCACGCTCAAGCTTTTGACGGCGAACATGGCTGCCTCAAGACCGGTCACTCTTGAACCTGTCGATCGGAAGATTGACATCATGAAATTTGATGGCTCCTTGGATGATCGAGCTGCCGCAGAACTCGACCCTGACTCCCGTAGGAGCAGAGGAATTCTGGGCACAGGCCCGTGTTTGTTGAAGAAGGAAAAGAAAAAGAGAAGAGAATTTTCGCAAGGCTGCGCTATGTAGTAAAAATCAGAGACCCACCTCGGACGATTAGCTAAGCACAGGTCGTTGGCGGTGGAGAACGACCCTGATGAGCCTGGGTGCCTGGCAAAGTGTTGGTGAGCCGCATGCTTTTTCCGGTTGGCCACGAAGTTTGACGCCTGGTAAGGTATCCTTATCGGAATCGCACTTGCAACTCCAGCTTCCATTCCGCCGATGCTCCATAGTACTTTCACCGTCCACAGCCCTCGACTCACCATCGCGTCAACTGGCGAAACCGCATCTCTTTTCAACCCTGCACAACGAACCGGACGCACCTATCGCCAGAAGTACTCAAGACGCAAGTTACAGCCAAGATGGACGCCGCGACCATCGAAGAGACGAATCGCATCCGCGTTTCGCTGGGCATGAAGCCATTGCCGGTCCCTGGTGCCGCCCCAGCCGAAACACAGCACGACGATTCTGCATCGGAAGAAGAAGATGCATCTGCGACACTCGAAGGACGTCAGGCGCAAGCATACGACAACTACCAAAAGGTTCGCGACGCCGAAGCCGCCAAGCGCAAACGAGAAGAGCGAGCCGCCGCAGCGAAAAGGGAAAGAGAAGCTGCGCAGCGCAATGCAATCTTAGAGGGCAAGGGTCTCGGCGAAGCTGACGAAAACGACGTGGACGCAAAGGCATGGTTGAAAGCGCAGAAGAAGCGACAAAAGGCCATCGAGAAGGCTAGGAAGTTGGAGGAGGAACAGGCGGCAGCTGAAGCAGCTGCGCTCGCGGCAGTCGAGTACACTTCGAAAGACCTTGCTGGAGTCAAGGTCGCGCACGAATTGGACAACTTTCTCAACGGCGATGAACAGATTTTGACCCTGAAGGACTCGACCATCGACCAGAACGAAGAAGAGGGCGATGAGCTTGAGAACATGGACGTAAGAGCCAGAGAGCAATTGCAAGAGAGGCTAGATCTGAAGAAGAAAAAACCAGCATACGACGTCTTTGCTGCGGCAGATGAGGATGGTGAATGCGGCATCTTGGCTCAGTACGACGAAGAAATTTACGGCAAGAAGGGCAAGAAGTTCACTCTTGATGGGTCTGGCGCTATTGCGGAGTTGGGAGATATTCTTGGAGCACCAGAAAAGGTCAAAAAGTTGCAAAACATTGATCTCGATGTCATGCGTAAGTATTGCCTAACTAAACATGATCATAATGGGCCGTCGCTAACCCTCCATCCAGAAGACGCACCTACTTCAGATTACCTTGATATCTCAGAGATTAAGGTGAAGAAGCCGAAGAAGAAGAAGAACAAGTCTACAAGGCAGAAGCCTATTGATGAGGACGACATCTTCCCCCTTGATGCGACACCGGCGGACGACAACGAGATGGACGTAGACTCCGGCGCGGTTATCAGCAAGAAGAAACGCAAAGTGGAGGACGACAATTTTGTTGATGACGACGATTTGCAGGCTTCCCTTGCCATCCAACGAAAGAGCGCATTAAAGAGGCGGAAGAAGAACCGGCCCGAGGACATTGCTCGGCAACTCAAAGAACAAGTAGATGAGCCGGACAATGAGGCTCTCAATGGCGGTGTAGTGATTGATGAGATTTCCGAGTTTGTGTCCAATCTGAAGAAGCCTGAAGAGGAGGAGGAGCGCAAGACAAAGAGGCCAAAGTCCACTTCAGTAGAGCCTGTAACGGCCATGGGCGTCGACAACGACGACGACGATGAAGATCACCCGATGGGCGACGATGCCTATGAATTTCCCGAGGATAGAGCTCGAGAGACATCTGCAGAGATTGCGGCGACGGGAGTGGACGAAGAGAAGTCACTCAACACCGGTATGGGTTCAGCTCTAGCACTACTCAGAGAGCGTGGTCTTATCAAAGACTCTCATGGTGCGGAGCGAAACATGAGCGAACGCCAAAAGGCCGAATTTTTGGCAGAAAAGAGACGTCTCGAGAGGGAGCAAGAAGACCGAGCAAAGTACCAGCGAGAGCGCGACAGAAACAGCGGCCGACTGGATTCCATGTCTGTAAGGGACAGAGAGGAGCGCGCTCGACAAGCAAACGCCCATCGCGAACTGCAGCAATCACGCGTCGTCGACGAGCTTTTCAAGAAGCACTACAAGCCCAACGTGGAGCTCAAGTACGTGGACGATCACGGCAGATCTCTCGACCAGAAGGAAGCCTTCAAGCACATGAGTCACCAGTTCCATGGCAAGGGCAGCGGCAAGGGCAAGACCGACAAGTTGCTGAAGAAGATTGAGGAGGAGAAGCGACGCGAGGCCAAGCCGACGTTTGACGCGAGCGAGAACGCAAACATGAACTCATCATCGGCGAAGCGGCAGGCCGGTGTTCGATTACAATAAAAGGCTAAATCGGGTTGGTGTCGGGACCATGGACCAGGAAAAAGGTGCAGACCCTTTAATATGTACAATCCAAATTGAAGCTTATTCCCTGCTGACACAACGTTCAACTCTTCAGACGCCCCCGGTTGATTTGCTGACGCTTTCTTTGTGATACCCATTCATCTCTTTTCCAAAAGTTGGAGGTGCAAAGTTGTACACTCTAGCATCCCTTGTATGCTGTTATCTTGCTTCGGAACAGGAGAGATGGCCCTTCTTTGCGACCACACAACGCTAAGGCCAAGTGGCCCGACCCTGCTGCGTTTGTCTACTACGTTGCCCAAGTCGTTGGGGCCGTCATGATGGACCTAGCAGGCTCTCCCAGCTCCAGCGTGGCTCGCGGGGTATTTCGTTTCTTGATCTTGCCGGTGTGACAGGCGCGTCGCTGAGGCTCTCGTACTCCCTCTGGGCCTCATCAATCATTCTGAATATGTCGTCCATGTTGAACGCCGACGTCGTCCGCCTCGGCGACATGGCAAGACGCTCCGGCGTGTGGCCGCTGCTCTCAATCGCATCCGTGACCTCCAGCATGAGATCCTCCATCAGCGGCGAGACGCACGGTGAAAAGTCGGCCGAGAAGTCGGACGAGGTGAAGGACAGCGGGCTATCCGGCTTGCTGTTTATGCTGCTGCTTTGACTCGGCTGCCGTTTCAGAGGCGTGACGCTCCGGCTCGTCGTCGACGTGGACGCCGTCACTGCCGTTGGTGTCATGTCGATGCTGCCGCCGTGGGTCCGGCACCGTTGCTGTAAGCGGGCCCGTCTCTGGTCCCGCCGCGATCTGATGATATCCCGAACGGCGTTGCCGTGGAACTCGCAATCTGCTGCCGCCGGTGAGCCGCGGTAGCAGTCCTTGCGGCCGCAGATGCCGTGTGTGAAGACGTCTGGGTGCGTGACTCTGAAGTTGAGCATGCCTTGCCTGCCTGCGCCTGTACTCATCATGCTGGGCTATATGTGTCACTAATGTGGAGATGGGCCTTCGTGTAAGAATGAGAAGGAAAGCTGGTGAAGAGCTTGCTGTTATGAGATGCTCGTGCCAAGCCTTGATGTAGGCCAATAGATGTATGAGCTAAATGAAGGATAAGTATCCGGAGGCTTAGATAGGTAGCTGAAGATGGAAAGAAGAACCAATATTTACCTCTTGAGCTTAAAGAAAAGCCTCAGCGCCCACGTTTTCTTCCTTCTACTTGGTGTACCCCGCGTTCAGCTACTCGTAAAAGCCAGGTCTCCGCCTACTGGAGTGAGTTTGAGTCGATCTCGCCTTTGAGCTTTCTTCGGCACTTGTAACCCAACCCTTTGGGAACCGCTCCCGCGCCTCCTTCAGCTTCTTCTTGCTCTCTTTTGCCCCGTTTCAAGGTACGCACGCGAAAAGTCGTCTGCGGCGCTGCTGCTTGAAGGCAAAATCTCTCTGAAATTCCCTTTTCCCCCACTCTCTCTCTCTCTCTCTCTCTCTCGGGGTAGCGAAAGCCCGGGCCCGGACTAATCCTGGAAACGGTGTGCTTGGAACAAAGGCCGATCTGCCAGTGTGGCGTTGACTTTTCCTTATTTCCTTATCTCTTTTGAGTTCAGGCGGAAGATGTACCGTAGGCGAGGATAGGTAGAGCAAAAGCCCGTAAGATCAGGTGCTACACGTGCGCGGTGGAAAGTCTGATCACTTGTTCTTTTTTGGCGTAGTTCTTGGTGTAGAAAAGAGGCGGATGAATGGCAGGGAAGGAATGAAAGAAGTAATCAACGAACAATATGAAAAGGAAGCAGAAGAAATAGAACGATCGAGGTGATATCCGCTGAACGCCTCTCTCTCCCTTTCTCACCACTCGAACCCAAGGAAGACAAGAACGCCCACGTTTCGTGTTGTTTCCTATCGTCAATCTCAAGGATCGCGATGGTGCGGGATCGTTGGTTTTGCTTGCTTACACATAACATGATTCTTGTGTCTTTTACCCAGTCCGCCTCACCAAATCCTCCTCATGGCTTCATGCCCCAGTGGTCTGAGTCTCCCTTTGACGTTCCAATGAACCCAGTCCAAAGTCCTGTCCCTAGGCGACCTTAATCTCCAGCCCAAAAAGACTCGTAGCTCCGTCGGAGAATTTGCATTCCAATCGACCCTTTCTTCCCGCTAGTGACTGTTTCGGTTGTTCGTCTTTCCCTCCCCTCGAATTTCCCCTTGCAACGTGAGTGTGAATCCCGCCCCCACGTGCAATCGGGATCGATCCTCCAAGCTTGACGAGCGGGAAGTACGACAAACCTCCCGTGTAACACGATTCTATTGAGGCTGAATAGAGTGTATCAAGGGGCATATTGAATGTTTTAACAGAAATCGCGATTCCTCCCCCGCCATCGTCATCATCGCGATGGGGGGCGCAATAGTTGATGTGATGTGATCTGTCCTCGATAATCGCAACGCGTGTTGGCATTTCTCCCGCCCCGCGCCATGCCTCACTCGACAATACCCACGAGCCCCATACCATTGCCTCATTCTCCAGATTCCAAAATCGTTTTACGTAAGCGTCCAAGACGCACACGCCGCGCCGCCGCCGCCGCCGCCGCGGGGCTGCCAAATCAGCCCACATATCAAGGGAAAAGTCCGGGTCTCATGACAGCGGACCTTGCCGTGAAGTAGGCCACAAACCATAGTTCTGTCACAGGGCGGGCGCTTTTCCCAATGTTCCAGCAATGTAAGACAGACAGCCCAAACAACCGAAAAAAGAAGAAAACAGCGAAAAACAGCTTAATGGGCCGATCTGGCCAAAGGCTGAGAAAGGCAACAAGCGTAAAAGAAAAAGGGTGGAATAACACGCCGTCGTAAAAAGGCCGAAATGTACAGAGTAGAGAGAGAGACGTTATCTTCAGGCACCAGCTTCGGGAGGGACCTCCTTGCCCTTGATCACGGCGTCGGCCGCCGCGAGTTGGTCCACGCCGCCGCCGCCTGCTGTCAGGCCAGCGGACGACCGCCGCGTCACGATCCACCACGTCAGCGTCAGGACCGTGAGCCATGCGGCGACCCAGGTGATGACCACGCGCGGCGAGCGGCGGCGTCGCGGTGCGTAAGGGGAGAAGTTGATGCTCGGCATCGCGTGCAAGGGGGCGCCGGTGCCGTGCCGTGGACGAGGTCCGTAAATGTGAGATGTTATGTGTTTGGATTTGAGACTGTAGCCCCCTTTGTTTGGTCGTGAATGACGAACGCTTGGAATTGATGACCGCGGCTATCGGTTGGTACAAATAGCAGATTGTTTTATGAAATAGCCGGTATACGTAGATAATACGATGAGATCAATTGATGATTCGACGTTGTAACCTAGGTGAGGTTGTGAGTAGTAGTCTTGATGAACCAGCATTCGAGCCTTGAGTGACAGTGAGTGGGTCATTTGACGCGAGACATGTCAAGCACTGTCTCGCGCACCGTGTCTATGTGCTGGAATATACATGACAGAATGGGCAGCGGTTCGCCCCTGAGATTCGATTTACTCTCTGTATCAATCGCTCAATATCGATTGAATGTTTCCAGAAATAATATCGGAGCTGAAGAAGTAATAAACGCGTCGGGAATCAAGTGCAGGGACGATGTCCGCGTTGGCCATCCCTAGCACTCGGAAGGACGGTTTAAGGGATTGTTCAGGATTCAGATCAATTTTATGGTCGTTGACCAGAGGAGACTCGAGTGAATAGTTGGGGCCTATTATAGGAACTATACCATTACCTGGGCCCTTGAGAGGTCTCTCAATGCTTTATTGTGATGGAGGGAGACATGGACAAGATATCTACATGTATCTGAACTTGGCAGCCCATAGCACCATCAATGGTTTACATTCAACAAGTATCCGTAGACCCCTTCGAATGTGTGGAAACCGGATTTATGTAATCGAAATTTCGAGAGATGTTAATTGACCATATTGAGTGTATTCACATAGCCATGTGGCTGTTCTATGCATTGTACTGATATACAAGTTACGACTTGTGTTTTCTTGCCGCTTTGCGCACAAGGCGCCGACAGCCGCCCCCCAAACCAATTGATAAACCAATCAACGCCATATTCAAGTCCAAAGCCAATCATCGTTTACAAACGAATGCTTGCACCTATTCCCTGGCCCTCGTACCAGACCGTATCCTTCCAATTCCCAATCCGTACAGTGACATTCGCACTTGCATCAAGGGTTAGGGAACCTCCAATCGCTCTCTTCACGGCATCATAGCCCACTGATCCTGCAGACCAGTCAACAGGCAGCCTGGGCGTTACAGACATTCCCGGCGGCGCGGCAAAGGGTAGGCCATAGACAATACGGCCGACCGGCTCTGTGTGATTATACAACGCTGTAGCGTTGATCCAATCAACATAAATGGTGTTGTACCGTAGCGGAGACACTAGGGTAAACGTCGCTGTAGAGGAAAGCACGTGGAAAGTCGCATCTCTAATGAAGTGTCCCTTCTTGTCGCCTTCTCCGGGAAGGTCCAACTTCGGAGCGGCAATGCTGATATTCAGCTTTGATAGGCCCTCGCCAATGAGAGGGGCAGTCGGAATTGTGCCTCGATGAGTCTTGACGTCTATGGTGACATTGCGTCCGGAGAGATATTCTGATATCATATCACTGGCAATCTTGCGGCCAGCTTCGCCCTCGGCGGTTGGGTCCCAATTTGCTTTCACAAGCAAATTTGTGTTGTTGCCCTTGTCGACTGTCAGATTCTCGGCAGTAGCACTGCCAAGCACGAAACCGTCCCTCACAATATGTATGTTGATATATGGTATGGAGGCTGTGTACGGTGTCGGATTTGTGATGTTGACCAACGCCTCAAGCGTCATTGCTGAGGAAGAGGTACTGATAATCTTCACGTCTCCCACTTGTGGGTGAATGCTGCCAAAGGTGTCGCCAGGGAGAGCTGCACCAGTGTAAGCCTTCATGCTCGCTCAGTTCCCCTTAGTGAGCAGGGACATAAGAAATCAACCCACGATAAGACAAACAGTGCCGGACTTAGTACGGACGTTTTACCGGGATTTTGCCCTCAGCAGGGACATCCTTCAAGACCAAGTTTCCAAGAGCCGTATTAACTCGAATGTCGACACTGGCCTTGACGTCCAGTAGGACCTGCTTTCCGCCGAAGAGAAGTCTCTGCATAACGTCCGTCAAGACATCGCCATCGGTGATATTGAGGGGAGCATCAATGACCCGGGACGTGATTCTCAGGAGAGGCTCGTGTTTCTCGTCGCCAGCCTCTTTTGTTGAGTTAGCGGACTGCCACTTGTCGAGGTTGAGTTCCCCGAGTTTCTTGTTCTGATACATGACGTCTGCCGTGGCTCTCAAATCCGTGACATTAATGTCAAAGTTCATCTCTTTCGGAAGACCCGCGAGAACCTCAACCGTACCCGAAACCTTTGGCGATCCATCAGGGTCATCCGGGTCCGCCATAGGATCGGGCAATTGAAAGTTCACATCGGTGAGCGAGAAGCTCTTGATGAGGTTGTCAAAACCCTGACCCGGGAAGGGAACAGGAACAGTGATCTCGGACAGAATTTCGCCGACCCAGTCTGGGGTGTCTGAACCGGGCATTTTGCGACCACGAACGTAGACAGTAGCGGCCTCGCCGTGCATGTACTGATCCAAGAATTTGTCCAGAGGTGATGACTTCGAGTTAGGGCAAACTCTTGTCAGTGACTTTGGGAGCTCTCGGATGATACCAGAGACGTTGACAGTGACATCGGTTCGTGGCTTGATTGAGAGGGGCTTGGTTGTGGCGTCGGCAAGAAGAATGTAGGGGTCAAAAGAATTGCAGTTGGGAACCAGAACTTCAAAGCCAAGTTCCGGTACATCTAAGCTGACGGGAAACTCGTTGTAGGCGGTGATGGCTACGTCGGCGCCGACAGCTGTTCGCTGGCCGTCCGAGTCTGGCAGGTCTCGGAAGTTGAGGCGGGAAATATTATACTGCGGCAACGTTGGGATTTGGTTCGCTAAATGAGGCATCAGTATTGAGCTTGAAGGAACATGTTGTGATTGAAGCATAGTGATATTTAAAGCAGAACTTTTTCTCCAAAGTACAGGGAAGCAAAGGAGCGGTAGAGTGATTGACCTTCAAATACCAAGACCTCGCTCACTGAATGAGTGCCGAGTGGGAGGATTCCGGACTTGAGTGGAATGTTGGCCTTTCCAAGCACCTTTAGCTGGTCGAGCTTTCCATCTAGCCATTCGTTGGCAATCTTTCGGTACGCTTCGGCGTCACCGGGTGACAGTTCGGCGATGAAATCGATCGCGGTAGTTTGGCCATCGACGATACTAATGGTGAGTGGCGGCACAACAGCAGTGCCGAGCAAAGCGTCGTCGTATTCTGGCAAGAACACGCCAACCTTTGTCTGTTCTGTTCCCAATTGCCTCACAATCCAAGTTGCCAATTTTCCAATCCTTCGAGATGTCGTGTCCTGGACCCTAGAGCCATCAAGCTTGAAGTTGGCCTGAACACGTGCCCGCACACCATCCGTCGTGATTGATTCTAGGGCTAGATTCGTCGGCTCGACGACGGCAGCCTGCTTCGCATACTCTTGAACTGCCGAGGGTACGAAGAAGCAACCGGCCATGATACCAAATACCAACAATATCAATACCGTGATGGATATCACTGACGCCCATCGTACAGAACTCTTAGTGGTCGTGCTCGGTGGGTTCGAAGCGAGGGAGGCGGCGCGAGACCTCTCTGGGTCATCTTGCTCGCCATCGTATCGGGGCGTCGCAGAAGAGCTGGACAACAGAGGCGCCGATTCGGACAATGAGGAGTCATCTTCGGCCCTGCCTTTGCCCTTGCCCGCCAGGAGCGGCGATCTTTCTTCGTCTTCAGCCATTGCGTGTAGAGTACTCTCGTGATCACAGTTTGTGGTGTGTCGTTGTCGGATCAGAGCGCAAGAAAGTCCGTCATCGCCGGTCGAGATGACAAACAGTAATGAAACCACGAAAAGTCGTACAAAAGGAAATCATGCAGAGAGGAAGTGTACGGGGTTCCGATCTTGCCCAGACAACCCAGATAGTCGGGATTCGTAATGGTGATGATGTCAAGTAACTTGGTTCATCCCAGGACGGGCAGTGCAGTTGAAGAGGCCGGGGTGGAGGTCAGCTGAAACCAATGAGACGAGATCTGGTCACCAGGGCGGACTTTCCACTCAGCGCCCATGTGGATGGCTGGGGATGATCTTCCCTCCCACGCCTCAATTGCCCTCCAGTGCCTGGCCGGGTGGGCACGGGCCATTCCTTCCTTCTCAGGCACACATGCACCACCTGTGCACCCTCAGCCTGCACTGTTGCAGTTGCAGCAGTAAATCACTGCCCACCGGTGACTGCCCGGACTAAGGCCAACTTATGTTATTGGCGAGTTCCGGTTCCGGCGCCTTCGACAGATTGGTTTGGGCTCACGCAGCAACAAATGCCATTAGGAAAGGTACCTTATCTAGGTACACAGTGTCAATTTCTCGCCTCTGTAATCCTTATCGTGCTATCCTTCCATTATGACCTTGCATACGCCCTGTAACGCCCTGTGATTTACAGGCAAAGGGTGACTCTGAAATTTTCGGTGTAAAGCGGTGAGGAGTTCGTTGAGTTTGCAGCCCGCAGGAGACTTTGTGGAGGTCCCGGCCGTTGTGGTCTCTCACTGAAGCTATCCATCCAATCCAATCGTGACTCAATCAACTCTTAATACTCATCAATTGAGCACCACTTCGACTCACTAGCCATTTTTTTCTTACTGATTACAACTTTAGATCCAAGTTTCATTCATTGGCCCTCAATTGACTTGACTCTGCCTTCACCAAGCGGTCTACGACTTCTCACATTTCAGACATTAAAGCTCGACACACCAAGTCGCCCACCATGAAGCAAACAGCTTTCCGAGTCACTCGTCAAGCTCTCAACGGCGCTCAGAGCCGCGCATACTCACAATCGACCGGCCCGCGCCATCTCATGTCCATTGCGGACTTGAGCCCGGCCGAGTTCGCTACCCTCGTCCGCAACGCCGCCTCAAACAAAACCGCAGTCAAGTCCGGCAATGTGCCCCAGGCGCTCGCATCGAGCTTGACCGGCAAGACCGTTGCCATGATGTTCAG